ATAACGGCCCCTCCTTTTTTTTAATATCTAATATTTTTACATGCTGCTAGTGAGAGAACCTGTTGTTAAATTACAACATTTAGAAAAATTATTCTTAGCAAGACTTTTAAACATGATTTCCTTGCTTTACAAAATTGTTTGAGTTTTTTTGACATGGCTTCTTTATATCCTGACTTTCATGAAACCTTTGGTAACGTGCTACATAAGTTACAAAAATATTTTATGTTTAAGGAATTAACGGGAAAGTTTAGAAGTAGGGAAAATTAGTTATGAAAAATGAAACGGAATTGGGAGCCATTGTTGATAAAATCCTTAAGAATTCTCCATTACAGATATACACACATTATGTTAGAAAAAGTACAGAGGCAGATTAATAGAATGACACAATGTTTAAGTCAAACCATATTTATTAAAAAAGGCTTAATTTATTCAGTACGTTTTCTCTAGAACATAGAAGCATTGAAGGAAACTCGATTTGGATGTTAGAAATGGTTAAAAATTAAAACAATCTTCTGATGGTAGTGTGATGAGATGTAGAATGAAAAGACAAAGAATTCAAACTTGAATCTTAGGAAAAATCATGTAGATTTCAGTTTCAAAAAACTACATGCAACTTGTGCTATTTCATTTTCTTCAGCTAGTTATGTTTACATAATTTTCCTGTTACTGTGATATACGCAGTTGGTATGAATTCTTCTGAACTACTCTTACTGCTAGATACCTGTATGAAGTTGAAAAGCTATATTTAATTTGGTTTAGTTGTTCAGGTTGATTGCTTTGTGAGACATGGGCAAATTCAATATACTGAATTACCTTCTGCCACATTGTTTCTTATGATTTTAAAAACATCATCAATCATAACTTTCACTAAATTTCATCATTTCACCTCTTTACATCCTAAGTAATTTGAATTTTCCAAAGCATCTTCTTATAGATATAAGCCTAACACCAAAAATGATTACTGTTTGACACATTCCAACAAAAAATTCTTTATTAGCCCTAAAAATATCCAAGTACAAACATAAGAACTTTCAACCACAGAAACACAACATATGCTGCACTTTTTAATCAATTTTCACTTGAATTCACTTTAAATTCTAGATCATGAAATAAATTACCTTGGTGTTGGAAGCTGAGAACTCTGTGGTGTTACTATTGGTTGATGTGAGGGATGCTGATTCAGAGGTTGAGAATTGATGTAATTCTCCTTTGGATAACATGTGTAGCTCAGAAGTGATCCCACCACAGGTGGAACCTGAGAAGTCTGTAGGGGCAGCATGCAGTGACCATGCTGGCCAACTTCCAGAGAGGTTTTTGCTCCATATTGATGCATCCTCCTACAGTCTCCATACATGTGATGTTGGGCATCTGAATACATTCTATGTTGATGCAAGTATCCAGATATACCACTAGGTGCTATACCTGTAGGCTGTGAATATGAAACCGGAGCACTAACCAGTGGGTTTGTATCAAGAGCATTATAGTGTACAGCTGTGTTTTCTTGTGGACGTCTTCCTGTTGAGCTGACACGAGCTCGTTTATTTTGTTTTTGTCTCACATAACACTGAATTGTTAGTAGTACACTATTGACACCAATTAACAAGACACCAATGTAAACAAACACCAAAAGCTCCCCATTCTGAGCATGCATAACAGCACCAGCAATGATAAGTGCACCCCCAGTCATTATTGCAGAAATAAAAATGACTTGTTGAAAATAGTAGCAAAATTCATGTATATTAAACTCCGAGGAAGAAACAGGTGGAGTGGCTGTGCTGCGGGTAATGCTCGTAGCTGTATCACCATGCTGTTGGCTCACATCAGGCTGTGGGGCAAATGGTGGGGCTAAGGGTGTTGTTACATTTGTATGATCAAAAAAGGAATTACTTGGGACAGCACCTCGTGATGTATTTGATGGATAAGACACTATGAAATGTCCTCCTATACTTGTCAGGTGCTCCTGTTCAGCACCATACATTATACAGTCCTTACTAAAGAGAAAATAATATTTAGATTTTATTATATTCAAACAACATATGTACACTCAGTTCTTTATACATCTAGAAATATATACCACAATGATTTATTTGTAGTTCCTATTTATTGTTACCAAAGATCAATTAACTCCTCACATAAAAAAGTTTTTGTAATTTACATTTGAGTAACAAAGAAAACAAAAGAGCTGTACCTAACATTTGTTGTCTTTAAGAGAAAAAAATAATTATGGACCCAAAAATTATCTTAGTAAGTTTCTACATCTCTATAAATTAGTTTGTTTGAGAAATAAAAGAAATCTTAAGATTAGATTTGTCAAAAAAATTAATTAATAACCTACAGTTACAGTAGCATTCAAGAAACTTTTACTTCAATTTCAACACAGACATTCACTCTTTTTCTTTTTTTGCAACAACACTAACATCACAATTCTATTAAAATAGTTACTTAGCCTAAGGTCATTGAAAGTGTGCTTTAACCACACATGTATTAATTCAGAATGAAGAGGCTTCATTTTAGATGGACTTCTTTGTATTATTAATTACTGGAACACAAGCAAGAAAAGCAATAATTTCAATAAGCTCAAAAATGCTATAGTAAATTAAATTTGTAATGATTATGTAAACTTACTCTCAATTAGGCCTATTCTAAACTCATTAATGCTGTGTAGGGATGCATGTATAAATTTAACATTGGTAAAGTTTGTCAGTAATCAAATCTTTCTCCCCGAAGTGTACTAATGAAATTTGTGTAGGCTAATAATTTTCTTCTTTCAAGACTTTCTTCAATAAAGTAATGATCAAGAAGAATTTAACTTAATTCTACCATAAATGTAAATGTGGAGTTATGAATTAAACAGTCAATTACAGTACAAATAACCACTAATGATTCTGTTATGTGTATGTTTATATGACAATGTGTAACAATATAAATAATTAAAATTAGTCTGATAAATTTTACTATAATTCATTAACTAACTATTTATACAGTATCCAAATACTCGGTGAAAAGTAAATCTTCATTAAACAGGTTTTACCATGATTAAGAATCTCAAATGGCTAACATTAAGTCATATTTATGTTCAGAACATAAATGATAAACTGAATTAAAACTTAATGGAGTGCCTGTAGTAATTCAATAATTATAAGAATCACATACAACAGAAGAAACAGATTTATACAAAATATGGACAAAGAAAAAATGCAATAAAACTTGCTATAACACCTAAATTTTAAAGTATAAATCATAAATATTCCTAATGTTGAGTTTTGACTTTTCAAAATTATATAAACAATATAATGTACATTTAAATATCTGTAAATTATACATACTCCTTTCATAGTATTTACAAATAAATTAAAATTTGTAATATGTGTAAAAACTTTGACAAGTTACAAAAATAATTTTTTAACCCCTCCCTGACCTGAGTACAATATTGTTAAATTACAATTTAGTAATTTAAGATTCATATTTTATCTCAAAGTCTAGTACTGAACATTTTAAATTGTATTAAAAAAAAAAAAACTTTACATTTTTGATGTGTATGAATAGTATCTTAATTTATTTTGTTTATAAGTATATGTCACAAAAGCAGTTTTCTTTAAGATATAATTGATATTCTGTAACCAAGTTTAATTTTCTTACAAATGAATTCTTTCAACTAAATATCTGCAAAAAAGATTTTCATATGCCAATATTTATCCAGTCTGATTTTAACACAAATTTCATTATATCTAACCCCCTAAAACATATCTAAAATTTTATCTTTTTTTCCCCTCTACCTTCTTAAGCTTCATTGCCAAACAGAAGATAATGTTATTGCATAGAAATACATGTACTGTAAGACATGTTATTTCAATCATAATCATATAATTTTTTAAAGAAAATACCTCATACTTTGAATGTAAAAATAAAAAGACAACAACCATTACAGTCATATAAATATTTTTCAAGTAGAGAATACTGTAAAGAATGATCAATGATAACTAACTTGTTGGTTTACTCCAGCTAAGCAGTCAACATTGTTTGACTGGAGGGTGTCCAACCTTTAACATTTATAAATGTGCCTACTAATGTATATGTATGTCAATATAGAATTTATAGTACAAATTTTTCTGACAATACACAATGAAGATTCAGAAAAGAGGATCTGATTGAGGTGTTTAAGATTATTAAGAGCATTAACAGTATTGATCCATTATCTTTTTTTACTTTAGTGGTAAAAATGGTAGGACTGGGGAAACAATATAAATTATTGAAGAGAAGAAGTCATCTTCAGCTAAGACAGTTTTATATATATATATATATATATATATATATATATATCATACACACATACAATTTAAGGACAACAGAAACCAGTTAGTCCATCCCATCCACCATACTAAACACTAAAATGAAAATAAAACACTCAAAGCCAGCCTTTATCATTTAAATATTTACAATGTCTTCCTTTAAACTTCCTTAAATGAACTGCACCTACTACATCTGAAAACAACTCATTCCACAGTCCAATCATCCTGTTAGAAAAATAAAATTGTTGTAGCAAAAGATGACTCTTATCCTGTCAAAAATTAAGTGTACCCTAGACTTACCATTAAGTATGAAAACAATGCATCCAAACTATCCATTCCCATAACAATCTTAAACATCTCAATCAGATTCCCACTAACTGTTCTATTTTTTTTTCAAGATAAAACAACTTAAGAGATCTTAATCTATTCCCATACAACATCTTTCCCATCCAAGGTATTATTACCCTTTTCAACAATTCAATGTTCTTTCTAAAGAACCCAAGACTGTACACTGTACTCTAAATGAAGCCTAACCATTGCCATATACAATGACATAATAACCTATTTAACATTTCTGTAGATACAACCTAAAATCCTATTTGCCCTGCCACAAGCAACATCACACTGCTTGGATAGCTTAAGAAACTGATGAACCAGAACACCAAGATATTTTTCTTTCATAACACTTTTAAGGTTATTCCCATCAAAATGACATTCATAATTCAAATTGTGATATCGAAGATGTACCACCCTGCATTTCATATATAATTGAATATAGCAGTAACGGTTTTAGAGGGTTCAGCATTTCCATCTTCTCCAGAATCAATACATTACACCTTGCTTTCTTCTAATCTAACTCGGTTTTGAAATCTCAGGGCACTTGTCCTTCTCATTACTCTTCTATTTTTTACTTTCAGCATCATTTCCTCACTTCCAATTAATATGATTTGGTTTATTCAAGCATGAATCTAAAGGTAAGCTGCATCTACAAATGCCACAGGCGAAGCAGTCTCCTTTTTTTCTATGTTTATGTTCCTGGCAAGGTATTTTTACAGATTTCACTATTGAGTATATATTTTCAATCAAAAGAAAAAGCTTTTTAGATTATATTATTGGATTACGGTTACATAGTCTGGCGCCTCCAATCTGTTTTTTGGTTCTGACGTGTTTTTCTTAAAAGTTGGGTTGGTTTTTCCTGACCAGGGGTGTTAAAACTCATCTGCCATTTATTTGCCTAACTTATCAAATAATCCACATTCATTTGTAAAGCAGTAGCATCCTCCTCAGAGTCAGCAACATGCGAAAATATTAATATTATCAGCAAACTTAAATAATCTATTGACCATTCCTTCATCTATCTATGTCATTGATGTAAATCAAAAATAGCAAAGGTCCTAATACTGAGCCCTGAGGTACTCCACTTGTGACAGTAATCCAGTTTGACTGAACTCCATTTATAACAACACTCTGCTTTCTTCCATCTATGATCTAGTCAATTTTCTATCCAATGAGCCAATGCTATCTCCTACACCTGCAGAAGTAACTTTTTTAACAAGTCTTTTAAATGACACCTTGTCAAATGCTTTCTGAAAATCCAGATATACCAAATCCACATACCCTCATTTAAATAAGTAATAACTTCTTCAAAGATGTAAAAGATTAATAAAGCAAGACTTTTCCCTTGTGAAACCATATTGACTATCCAACAAAATTATAAACTTTGTTAAATGACTTTGCAAAGCTTCTTTTACTGGATGTTAAAAAATTTTCCCAACACTAAGATAAGACTAAGAGGTCTTTATTTAATGGGAAAATTTTATCCCCTCCCTTGAAAAAGAGGAGTAACATTAGCCAACATCCAATTTTCTGACACTTGCTCACTATTCAAGGACCTAGTAAAAATATTAGCATTTGGCTCACATTTCTAGTCCTTACCGTTAATACACTTGAAGAAATACTTACTATTAATTTTCACATTTTCAGTCAACTCATTCTTCATATACTTTCTATGATTTCCTAATTTTCCATTAACCTAAGCATAACATTTAGCCCTAGTAACCTACTTATAATTTTATCCACACAGTTAAATCTTGGCATTATCCCTGATAGAATTAAATTATTCATCATTTCATTGTGTTCTTTTTAAACTTTCATCTTTATCAACAACTTCTTACTTACAAGATTTATACCTTTTTTAAATTTAAAATGTTATTTATTTTTAGCCATGGCTCCGAATTTTGTTTTTTCAAGTACAAACTTTTAGTTCATAGCTCCATCATATCTTGACTGATTTGAGAACTAATTACAGTTTTATACTCAGGAGGTCAAACTCTTTCAACTGATGTACTTGACCATGCCCAAGGTCTCATAGATTAATTTATTCTAATCCTTTCTAAAAGGGTTTCAATTTGAGGGTAGGTTAGTAGAGATCCTGATGAGCAATAAAATTGAATCGGGTATATGTGTGTTCCATGCTTGGTATTGCTGGCACACAAAAATATAGCTAACAAAAATGGATATAAAGGCCTAAGATTAATTTACTCTGATCCTGCCTAAAAGAATTTAAGTGTCATGTCTATTGAGGATTCTCTCTTGTTTAAGGTTTTAAAGATAATGATGGGCTTCAGAAAAATTCTGAAAGTCCTTAATTAATTTTTTTTTTTTATATGAGTGTGATTTTAAATTTATTTGTTTTTCATAAACCTTTGGTCTACACCTTACCCAGTATCATCACAAGTTTCCTTTCCTTCCCAAATAGTAAACCTTGTAGTTGTACTGTCCAGGATCAGCGTGAATTTATTTTCACCAAATTATACATTATCTGTCACACACTGTGACATGAAACTTTACTAGTTTTATCACATGAAATCTAAAGACAATTACTTGTGATGAAGAATTAGATATTTAGTTTACTTTTAAGTTTTAGTAGACTTTTCTTGTGAAACAGTATCAATGGTATTTTCAGTTTGGTATAAGGTTTGTAATATGTTATGTATATATATCTTCACATATAAAAGTTTATAATTTAAAAAAGTGACTCAATCCTAAACTTTTGTACCTGAAGATATCTAACAGTAACACAATAAACGAAGAGTGATTAAACTTTAAAGTTTTTAAAAAACCAAAACAAGCTTAAAAATACGAATATTAATCTCATGTGAGAATAATCGATTAACGAGTCCGACAATTAATTGATTAGCAAATTACAATAATCGCCCAGCTTTAACTCTAAGGTACACTAATACTAACAATAATAGCAATACAACTTACAACAGCATAAGTTGCATTTTTAGCTTAAAGTTAAATAATTTAACTTTTAAGCCTACCTGAAAATGAAATTGAAAACGAGTGAAAACTAAAGCTTTTACTAAGCATTACGTTTTTCAAAAACAAACCAATGCCGATATATTCTTATTTCCGCTATACAGAATTTCTATATTCTATTACAACTGTAATTTTGAAAAAATATCTTTCTTCGTCATAACAGGCATTAAAATACAACAAATCATCTTCCCGCATAATACAAAATTTGCCACTTCACCATTGAACTATCAGTTGCAAGCGCGACACCTGTAAAAGAAAAACTTTTATTATGAATATAAAAAGTTTTCATTTTTCCTATAATTTTTGCAATATTTTTCTATCCTATTCAGTAAATGTTGAAAATTAAATTAATATTGTTGCGTCTCCGTTTGTTAATTAACTTTCCGTAACTTCGTTTCGACGAAACTTTAGCGACACAAGTCCTTACTTAATAAAACTGGTTTATTCTTTCCGAATATAACTTCACGATGCCGTTCGTTGTTATAGCGTTTGTTTTAGCGCGATTGTTGAAATTAAGTTGCTCAATAATACTCTCTGACTGCAGATCAATTACTCACTGTCTACAACACACATTATTGTCCCGTCACGTTGTCACCCTCTTTTATATACGAAACTACCCTATATCCAGTAAATGCTAGAGCATTCGCCAAGGTACAGGATAGTTCTAGAAACGTGGCGTGACACTAGTCATATGACTTCGCTGACGCAACAATATATTTACCTTTTTAAAAATCTCATTTTCACTATACGCCAGTTTATATTTTACGATTTCCGTGCCCCACATTTGAAAACATTCATACACGTTCTTCAAAAAAACAATATTTGGATTAAGATAAAAACAGTACTATATAGGTATTAGCTTGATGGTTTGGATGTAGCATACACAGTCGTGATGTATTTACTGTAACATGTACGTAAACTCACGTAACAGTTATCGAGATGATAACATTTATATTATTTTAATTTAACATAAAGAGTTTTGTCGTTAATTTACTGATTTTTAAATATCATTTTAGTTATTCAGCACGAATGTTTACATATTACGTAACACACATGGGTAATATTACTGAATAATAACTGTTTCATGTTTAAACTGACGTATGCGTTAATTGACAGAGATGATTTCTGAAGCTAGAGATGAAAGGTACTTTGAAAACTGTACTCATTTCATTTTAAAAAATGTAAAGGAATAGAAGTATGTAATCCACATTTTTTTCCTGTTTTTTTAAACAGAGCGACACGTTTCTCGTAAAAAAAATTATATAAATATGCCTTTCTAGTTCATTGAAATATACAAAGAGATAAAATGTGGGTCGCGGGTCCGAATCCCCGTCACACCAAACATGCTCGCCCTTTCAGCCGTGGGGGGCGTTATAATGTGACGGTCAATGCCACTATTCGTTGATAAAAGAGTAGCCCAAGAGTTGGCGGTGGGTGGTGATGACTAGCTGTCTTCCCACTAGTC